CGACACGCCCCGCTCCTCAGAGCCAATCCTTATTTCGAAGTTACGGATCCAATTTGCCGACTTCCCTTACCTACATTAGTCTATCGACTAGAGGCTCTTTACCTTGGAGACCTGCTGCGGATATGGATACGAACCGGCGCTACACCTCCACCATTTTAATGCTTTCTAGTATCGCTTTTTGCTGTTCTTGCGAGTGCCCTTGGCCCTCTTCCATGGCCTCGTACAGTTCTCTCGCTAGTTTCTCGACTCGACGCCCAAATTCCTGTGCGCTTTTGCCAGTTTTTTGTTTTAACGAGTTGAACTCCAGCTGCAGGTGGGTCATGCCGCGCTTTCCGAGATATTCTGTTTTGAGCTCGCGCTTCAGCTGGTCGAAATCGCGAATATCGCGCGTGTCAAAGTCGGTCATAGCTTTGCCCTTGAATTTCGTGCATAATATTGCTTCTAAAAGCATGGTTTTGTCCGCGGGCTGTATATTTTTCATTGCGTACGTGCTTGCGCTAATGAATTCGCGAACGCGCTCTCTGGATTCTCCGTTCATTTCGGAAGGCATGTTACGGGCTTCCTTTAGGCTAAGGAATCCTATGTGGTGCCCTGGCTGACTACGGACGTCGCTTTGCGTCCGCCCGTAGGTTACGTCCAGCGGGTCCTGGCTGCGTACGCGTCGCTCTCGCGCGTCGGAGCGATCGTAAGTAGCGGATTCTAGTCGACTCAGGCGTTGCTGCCCTGCATCTCGCGGATTGTGCGCAGGACTTCTACAGAGTGCTTGCGGCCTCTGTACGGTCCATGCGTTCCTACATGTCGCGCATCATGCATAGTACGTCGCTGAGCACAGAGCTTATTGCTCCTGGGCTTATTTGCGTCGGCTCGGGGGTTCGACTTTGGTCAGTTTCTGACGGTCGCCCGTTAGCCGCAGGTCTGAGCCGCTCTATTTCGGCGTTAATTTGCGCAGGCGATATGTCCTCACGCGGCGCAATGGTCGCGGCAGCTCGTTGCTGGCTCATCTTGTTAGCCTGAGGAGTATAATTCTCTTCCGCGAGGTCGAATATATCGCTTTCTTACGATGTCAGGGAGAATTTTCCTCTTCCTGCGTTCTTGCTCTGAGTATCGGCCGAGGTGTCCGATTGTGCGTCACCGTCGGTCGGGGGCAATCTGTGTGCGTCACTGTGTTCGTCACCGCTTTCGTGCGCGATATTATCTCGCGGGTCTGCGTTTGCGTCACAGAGGCTAGCGTCTAAAAACTCAAATTCGCGTTCTACTACGGGGTGTAATTCGAGCAATGGCGTGTTATCGTCGGCGAGTTGCGCGTCTAGATTCTGTCGCACGCGGTCTAGTTCGGTGTTCGTGAGTCGTGCGGCGCGTAAGTTTCGGATACTGTTTTCGATAGCTCGTTGCGCGCGCTCGCTCAGCACGAAGGACGCGTTGCTGACAGGGGGGTGCCGGGATAAGTCGTCCGACATCTATCGGCGCTTACGCTTGTATACCCTGTAATCGCGAAATTTCTTTCGGCGTTCGCGGTTGTATTTCCTGTAAACGCGAAATTGATTCTCGGCGTTCGGTCGCGGGAGACGCTCGCTATTTCTACACTCGGCGCGTGCCGTGGTCGGCTTATAAAGTGTTTCGGACTTACAGTACCGCCGCGCAGCACATGGTGTCCGCTTTCTGCTGTGCTGTTTCGCTGGCTCGGTGCGTCCCTGTGGCGCTGCCTCGGGCTGGCGAGTCCGTGCGGTAGGTCAGGGTCTCTCCGATGTCGCTGATATGGGGCACTCGGCGGCTGCTACCGTTGTTTCACTCACTCACTCGGGATTTGTCTGGCGGTTCCCCTCTGGGATGTACCGCCGTCTAATGATCCGTTCCCGTATTGCAGGCGCAGAACTGGCAGGATGTCCTCTCGTCCGGTTGGCAGATCTCACCGCTGCCACCAATTTGTTGTGCCGTACCTTGGATCGCAGGGTCGGCACGGAGTTCTTTAGAATCCGCCGGGAGGAAGGAGAAACACTTTGCCAGATTGTTGGTTGAATAACGTTTAATAAAGTTATTGTTAGAATGATACAGGTATCTTCTTATTTCACTGCCCTGACTTGCGGGCGTTCACAATAGAGTAGATTACGTTCGGTCGTGCGCGATATCGCCTTTCGGTCTAGACTGCCCGCCACTTCTCGGAAGGGCGGGCTTTTATCACTTGCGCATTAGCTTCCGCGAGGCTGACTTAGCTTATGCCCGGAATGTATTTGGCAATAGCCGGAACTCGCGCTGGCAATTGGGTGATGCCCGGAATGCCACCTAAGATGTATTTGGCAATAATCGGACTTGCGCTGGCAGCTCTGTGTCGCAACTAGGTCAACTCGACTTCCGTCTCACAACAAATCATATAATATATTATATAAAATATTATATAAAATTATATAAAATTATTATATAAAATATGTATGGGCGCTAATTCCTAATTTTTGCTCAGAGCGGTATTCTACCTTAGTCTGCTACTGCTTATTCTAACTTAGTCAGCTACTGGGTGCGTGCGTAGGAGTTGGCCCAAGGTATGTGAATCGCAAAGGAGGAAAAGAACGGGGTCGACGCGTCGACGCAATTTGTATATGTTTATAACATAGTGTATTTACATAATGTACAAGGGGTCGTATGTCAGTGTAGACCAGTTATGTCGTTGCTTTACACGGTAGCCGCCTTGCTTCTTTGTCTGGGTGCCGACGTCTCGCAGGTTCTTCCTATATATACTAACATAAATAACATAAATAATTTTTGCATAAAATGCTCTTTGGTTTCAACTTGAATTTTGAAATCATACGAATGATATTAATAATAATAATGACTAGCATGTATTGGAAAATATTGAAAATATAATTTGAAAAACCCCCTACGTCGAGTCCGCCAAAGCGCCCATCTACTGACAGTTGACACTGTATTCGGTGCCTCACCCCAACCGTCGTCGTCGCGCACGCACGAAAAAACCGGCCCGTCTAACAATCCTGGGCGGCAGGCTTTCGACCCCGCCCTGTGCCTCGTTGCACAGTGGAGCGAACGTCTCATTTTTCGGTTATTTGCTTGTAACTTTTACATTTTTCAATGAAATGACTTGAAACTTGACATAAATAATGTACGATTATTATACATTTAGTGTATAAAATCAAAATTATTTAATTAACAATTTTTCATAAAGCGCATAGATAATTTTTTTATTTTTTAAATACTTTTTAGAGTTTTCTTTAAGTCGGTTCTATTTTAAAACATTTTTTTTATTTTATATTTTTTTAGTGTTTTATTAAATTAATATGAATAATTATTATCGCATATTTCCTTACTGCTCCGTACCCTGATGTTTTAGTTGTGAGTTTTATAATAGAAAAAGAACTGTTTTTCTTGCTTCTCACATCTATTTCTTGAACTTAATCATCATCTACATCATTATCGCTGAAATATAATAAACATTTTGCATCTTCAGTTAATTCTTTCTTTTTATGTCCCATAATTTTTCGCAAATTAGATATTATTTGATCTGAAGCAATTATCAAATTATTAAAAATATCTTGATTATTTTGTATTCGCGACATTTTTAGCGAATAATTTTCTCTATATTTTTTAAAATATTAATGGTTTGCTTCCAGAGCATCTTCAGATAATTGTCCTATTGGTACGATAGCATTTTTTATAATATCATTGCCATGAATCAATAATTTGTGAATTGAGCCTGGCATGTAGTACCATGGGTATAATGATACAAATAATTTGGCAGTTCTAAAAGCATAGGATTCGAATTCCAACACGTTAATACTATTACCGCTAGCGATTACTTGCAACAAAACTCCAAATCTAGTTATTAAATTCTCATCTAAACCTCGTCTAAACCTGTAATGGCAGCTGATAATTCTGGAGCAAAAAATTTTCTGGCCGTGTTGCCATCATTAGATGTACCTTTTCCTTGTTTCACGAAGTCTATTAAGAGACCTGCTTTTGTTCTGAAGGCAGTCTGTATCTCTCTTTTTCTTTGCTCGACTTTGCTCAGTTTATGACTCTTATTCTTCGCTGACCAACATTTGATATTAATTTTATACGAAATATGTAATAAGCATTCAAAACAGCGAATCCAGCAATGTAATGAAGAAAGTCCGAACGAAAAGTATTCATCTTTCACAATTTTTTGTTTCATTAAATTTAAATTGTTCATTTCACTTGGAGAAGCGCCACAAATATAACATTTTATTGATGATTTAGTATTTGTCATTATGTTACAGATTTTATTGTCGATCATAGTAAATAAAAGCGTATGCTGTATCGAAATACCTTCTTCGGAAACAGTTGATATCAAAAAAGATATTTCTTCCTTAATTCTCTCAGTAATAGCTTTAACTTCAGTTTCTTGTTCCTTCACAAATTTGAATTTGATCGGTCTACAGAAACGAGTTGAGGAAGGGGTATCGTTTGTCTACAACACTTCGCCATTTTCATTAAAATAAATTTTTATTGGTACAAAACTGCATATAAAAATACTAGAATCATCGTATAAGGGATAATCAAAATTCAACTTGTAAAGCGATTGATCGGAAGCACCATCGCATCCCCATTTAGATATCATCGTTAAATTTGCAGATGCACTTAAACGAGGACGTAGCAGTTTAATGAATCTAAAAGCAGTATGATCCAAAAGACTTTGTGTAGAGAGACTTTCCTATTTCAAAAATTTCTATTGTTTCTTGCTGTGGAAAACAATCTTTTTTCGATAATTGAATTTGATAATAACTAAGTAGTGCTCTAAATCTAAATTTGATGACGTCACGAATAATATTATATTGATCGCAGTTATGCTTTCGGCAGAGTCTTTAGAAAGTAACCTATCGAATTACTAGAATTTCAGTATTCACGAAAATGTCATACTTTATCAGATCATTTTGAGGAAATAACAAAGGATAAAATCAATTATAAGCACATTTATTTATAGTTTAGGATATATATTAACATAAAATCTCGTCAAAATTTGAATTAAACGTTTTTTATTTTTTCGTCCAATATCCGGTTTTTGATAGATTCGCCCCACTGTGCGCCGGTGCGCCCTCCTTAAAACAGAGAGGGCACCGGAGAGGCGCTGCACAATTCTGGGCCCTATGTCCGGGCTCGCCGCAGCGGTAACATTGACCGGAACGGTCAATCTCACTGCGGCATTGTGCCCGGACATATCCCCCCTCCAGGCACCTGAAGCACTGCAGGGGCCGCTGCTCCAAGAGATCGACCCCTGCCAGTGCCCAGCCCACCGTAAGCCTACACTCCGCCACGACCCTATTGGCCGCAGCAAGAAGGCAGCGAACCCACGCGGTCCCTGTTCCACTTGGGGCCCGTCTTATGGGCCCCACCTGTATCAAGCTGGCGGGGCACGCGCTTTTGCGCGCCAGCGTTTCCGCCAACTCGGCCGTGGAGACAGAGTCGTCCAGGCCATTGACGCGGATTTCCGCAGTCTTAACGGGCCTGGCGACTCTGACTCCCACCCTTCCAGCGACCGCCTCTGCCACGCGCTGGCAGAGTAGGTCCGCCTTGAAACTGTCTGGTCCCGGGACCTCCAGGGTGAGAGCTCCGGTGATTGCGCGTTTCACCCGGAACTCACCTACCCCTAGATCCTGAAGGCTAACCCTCCTCCGGATCTCCGCCATCACTTTACCATACTGCCCCTCGGGGCAAATAATAATGACGGCGGTTGCCCTCGGGAGCTGCCGCCTCGTCTTCTTGGCTGGCGCAGTCTGACCTAAAGATCTTGCCGCGCCGGTCTTACTGGTTTCTCCGGGGCGGAAAGAAGAGGGGGCGAGAATAGGGCCTCCCCCTTCCTCATCTTCCGCCTCCCTACCACCTTCGCTCGGGCTCAGGCTGGGAGGCTCGTCGGGGTACATCCGACGTAACGGCTCCCTTTTGCCGCGTCCCCGAGGCTCCAGCGGGGGCCCTCGAGGCGGTCTTGTCTTCCCCTCTGGCAGTCTGGGTGGTCGAGACGGCGGGGACAGTCGCGAGCGCGGCTTTCCCCCCATCTTTTCCCTTCCCTTCCTTGCCCCCAGGTATAGCGGCAGGGGTCGGTTCTGCCGCCTGGCCCAAAGGCTTCGGCTTTACCACCGTTCCCCCGCTCGCCATCTATTAAAATGGGCTGTTATCCTGGCAGCGAGTCGCTCCTCCATCTGTGCCTCGGCAGACGGATCGGCCCAACCCGGCCCATCCGCTATACGGGTCATCCCTCCGAGCCCGGGGGGAGCCGCGGCCGGACTCGTCTGCATCTGCAGGCCCGTTTTAGGCCTTGGGCCCGTATTAATTTGGCCGGGGCTCGGTGTTTTTACCCTCCTCCTTTTGAGGAGGCGCTTTCGCTCAACGGAGGCGGCCGTCAGTTTGTCGTCCGAGGACGTCCCAATGGCGACCTCCTTCAGAGGGGGCGCCTGGCCCCGCCTCACCTCCTCCAGCTGCTTCTTGAGGGAGAAAATCTCGCCCCTCAAAATCTCCAACTCGGCTTCTCTACCGTCCGGGGAGCTCTCCTGGGCCCGGTTCGCCAGCTCACACGCAGCCGCCTCGATGGTGGAGGCGGCTACGTTGAGGGCCTTCTTCACGGTCCTACTGAGGCGTGCGGTCGTCCTGTTGATCTTGTCTATGGTCTCACAAATTCGAGCACCCTAAGAGCAAGGTCTGGCGTGGAGACGCTCTTCACCTCCGCCCGGGCTTCATTGCGGAGCTTTTTCCGTTTCTTAGAAAGGGCCGCCTCCACATCGGGGTCTGTCGTCCTTTCCTCCTGCCTACGCTTCTCCTCCTCACGGTACTGCTCATCCGAGAGCCCCGTAAACTCGTTCCCGGTTTTGTATACCGATACCGGCGTAGACACTTCCGCCGGCATTGCTAATGCCGCCGCCGTTGCCACCGATACCGTCGCCTTTATCGATGCTGCTGAGGTGGTCCTGGACAGGCCACCAGCCAACGCCAATGTCACCGACGACATCGAAGCCGCCGAGGCTGACCTGGCCAGTGCCTTCCGCTTACCCGATCCCGGCGTTCCAGCCGGCGCCATCGGGGTTGCGAATGCTACGAAGGTGCTCCCCTTTATTCCGGAAGCTACCGCCATCGCCTTCTGCTTTGCCGAGCCTGGTTTCCACCTTCGCCACACTTTGCTGATGGCGCTATCGCTCTCGACAGCGATGTTCTTCTTCACACTCGGGGTGGGAACCCCAGCAAGATTAGCATTTTTGTTTAAAATTTCTTTGTTTGTACTCGTCATTTTTGTTTTAATAAATAAATAAATAAATATACTCCTCCCTCCGTGTCTGTGTGTGTGTTAGTTTGCGTATATGTGTGAATGTGAGTGTGGGAGTGGACAAGTATACGTGTGTGTGTATGTGCGTGCAACCAGTGCTCACCTACTCTTTATCCTCCAGGCGATGCAGATCCAGCGAGTTCCTGTACTCGGTGTCGGAGGGCATCGGCCACAGGGCGGCAGTGGCCTCGGGAGTGCTTCCAACGGCAACGTGTACGGTCCCATCCGGTCACCAGCCGGCAACACACGCGCCGTGGGATTTTTGCAACATGGTGGGGCAGCCCTCGCATACTGGTTAGGCAGCGACAGGCCTCTGTACTATGTTGCAGCCATAGAATGCCATAACTATGTTTATCTCCTGTACCCTCTGCCGCACCCACGACCGACGCCAGAACCCCGAAGGAACCTACCAAACCCACAACACCCGGAGGCCTCCAGGTGGGCAACAACGTCCGCGGACCCAGACCCGGGAGTACGTCCCGGCGGCCCCGCGGACGACGAAACCCCTATCCAGGCGGCCCAGACCCAGAAATACGTTCTGGCGGCCCGCCCGGCTCTTCCCCCTACTCCGGGCCAGCATGCTGGTTACAGACTCCTACCTTCCGCGGATCATGCCTCTCCCCTCTTTTTATTTGGTTTTCTATTTTTTCTTACATGGCCGCAGAAGGGAAGGAACCCCGCCATCCCCCATCCTGCCGGAGCACCGGCGTGCAATGGATGAGCGATGCCATCCCCCATCCCGCCGGAGCACCGGCGTGCAATGGATAGGTGATGGGAACGGGGCCCCCTTCCTCTCCTCCCGTGTTTTTCATTCGGGGTTGTCTTCCCTAGGCTGGCAGAGAGAATATCCTCTCCTAGCGGTCCCAGAAGACCGGGCGTTTGCACTCAGGGTCGTCATCCCTTACCGACGCATTAAGAGCCAGCGAGAGAGACACATAGTGCCTCACCCTGGCGGGATCGCCGCACCCCATGGAACAGGCGTAACTCCCCAACTGGGAAGGACGCCCGTTCGGTGTGCTCTTGGACCCTGCTCATCTCTACCGGGTTCTCCCAGTGTCCGAGAACGCTAGTACTATCCCGCTAGTACTAGTAGATCACGGAGACAGGAAGTCCTCTCACCGCGACAAGGTGGCACACCCCGAGAGGTAGTTCGGACACGAACCATAGCATGGATACAAACCCATGTATCGTTACCCGAGTCCTCTCTGATCGTTACCGAGCGTAACGCCGCAGTTGACGTCCACTTTTTCAGAGAGCAGATTAGGACAGACGTCCCCCAAAGCCGGATGGCCGCTTTCAGGTTTCTCTCTGGTTCGAGCGTCTGGTAAACAACAAGTTCGGGCGCACGATGAAGACGCTATGTACGGACAACGGTACCGAGTACCGTACCGAGAGGATGAGCGAGTACATGAAGAAGAGGGGAATCACGCTCGAGACCACGGTTCCGGATATACTCCGGAACAGAACGGGAAGTCGGAGCGAGAAAATCGCACAATAGTAGAAGCAGCGAGAACGATGTTGCAGGCGAGAAAGCTGCCGTCGCACTTTGGGCGGAAGCAACTGCTACAGCGGTCTACACACTCAACAGGACTGGGCAGTCGAGAAAGGGCGGAAGTCGTACGCTGTACGAGATGTGGACGGGGAAGAGACCAGATCTTCGCCACATGAGAATCTTCGGCTCCGACACTTACGTCTACGTGCCGAAACAAAAGCTCACAAAATTCGATCCTCGAGCGAAGGAAGAAGTTGATCCTCGTGGGATACGACAGCAAATTGTCGAACTACAGGTGTTACGATCCTGTCACAAAAGTTGTGTCTGTTTCTAGGCATGTGGCGTTCAACGAACAAGAGAGCGGAGTAGGATCGGAGGTACCAGTGTCTGAGGTCGAACTTACACTGACGATGCAGAGCGAGATCGAAGAAGAAGACTATCAAGATGCAGAAGATGGTAACGGAGCTGTCGTCGGCAACGCAGGAGCAGACGATGTGGCCGCCGACAACGCGAGAGCGAGACAAGCAGCAGGGAGAGTCGAAAAAGACGAGATAGAAATTATCGAGGACGTTCGACAACAGCAGGAGCAAAAAGCGTCGGTACCAAGGGCGTTGCGCGATCAAACGACGATTCGTCAACCGGATAAGTACGAGCTGTGTCTCGTGGAATACAATACTCCAGCGACGTATCAAGAAGCTGTATCAGGTCCAAAGGCTATTCAGTGGGCGGAAGCCATCGAGGATGAGCTCGATGCACATCGAAAGAACGGAACGTGGGAGATAGTGTCAAGAATCCCAGGCGGAAAAACCATAGATTCCAAATGGGTTTTCAAAATCCTACGCAACACGGAAAGAAACGTGGTCAGATTCAAGGCACGGCTGTGTGCCAGAGGTTTTATGCAGCGAGAAGGCGAGGATTATTCGGAGACATTCTCACCGGTCGTGAGGTACGACTCTTTTCGAGTACTCCTAGCGATCATCACGGAAGAAGACCTAGAAGCAGCACAGTTCAATGTTCGAACTACGTTTTTCCATGGACTCTTGGACGCGGACGTCAGGATGGAGATTCCAACGGGACTGGAAGTCAACGAGGGTCGAGAGAAAGTGCCTTCTCAAGAAGGCATTGTACGGACTCAAGCAGGCACCGCGCTGCTGGTATCTGAAAATCGCGAGTGTTCTGAAACGTTTCAACCTGAAAAAGACAAATGCAGACAAATGCGTGTATGTCGGTACCTATGATGGGTGTAAGTGTACCTCGCGCTGTTCGTAGACGACGGGATAATTGCAGCGAAGTCTGCGAATGTAATCGCGAAAATTATCGGCGAGTTAAGTAAAGAATTCAAGATAACGATCGGGCATTGCAGTAGCTTCGTCGGGATGCAAATAAGTCGAGATCGCGAGTCAAGGTCGATTGCATACGCGGTCAATTCGGTCAGCAAATTTCTGAACGAGCATAAAGAGAGTCACTGGCGAGCAGTGAAGCGCATCATCGCGTATTTGATCGAGACAGTGAATATGGGAATCGAATTCCGAGCATCGGAGACGGGAGTCGAACTCGTTGGGTATTCGGACGCAGATTTCGCGAGCGATATAGCGACCAGAAGGTCGACGACGGGTTACGCGTTTTGCATGGCAAACGGAATTGTAACGTGGTCGTCTCAGCGACAAAAACTCGTGTCAATGAGTACGACGGAATCAGAGTATATCGCGGCATCTACAGCGACAAAAGAAGCCGTGTGGCTACGCGCGTTGTTGAGCGAATTAGGGTACCTGCGAGACAAACCGACAAAACTGTCGATAACCAGAGCGCGATTCGTTTAATTCACAATCCGGAATTTCACAAGCGCACGAAACACATTGACGTGAAGTTTCACTATATTCGCGAGAAAGTCGAAAACGATGAAATCAATGTAATCTTCGTGCCTACCGAGGCTCAGTTGGCGGATATATTCACCAAAGCGCTACCAAAGAGTAGATTTATTGAATTATATACGAGTCTGGGCCTGTGCATAAAACGCTCCGACGGCGGAAGTGTTGAGATGAGTCATCGCATTTAATGCGCGCGCCAAACAGCGGTAACGAATATATACAAGAGAAGCCGAGCGTGGCCGAGCATCTTCATATCACGTGCTCTGCGAGCGTCTTCACGGAAAAAGTCAGTTACAAGCGAACTACCGTTCAGATAGCACGAGGTGTATCGGAATAAAGCTGTGTTCACCTTTTTCAAACTAAGACGTTAAATATTATTCT